TCCCTTGCTCTGCTGGCCTCGCCTATTTGGCTTTGGCGCCGCCCCCACTGGCAGCCAATTCTCCGACTCTCACTGTCGAACTTGGGCTATATGTGCTTGGTCCTTTGTCCACAGGCTGCTCTGGGACGGCGCAGATCCTCCATACCGGGCCCACCAGAAGTCTCCAATGGATCATCGAGTCCATTAATACATTAATTATCACCCTCTTGGTTTAGGCTTATTGCGCAGATATTCCGACTAGTGACATTCTCGCTTGGCCTTGGCTTTGGCGCCGCTCCCAGTCAATTCTAGTCTCTCACCGGATTACCCACTTTTCGGCATGTTTTGGTGCAGACAGCGCGCCCCACCAGAAGTCTCCAATGGTTCCCCCGACCCAGGGCTGCGGCGTCGAATCCATTACTGTACGCCCCCCGCGTTGGGTGCTACATCTTGTCTTCTTACCAAGTACTTTACAATTCTGCTTATCGTGCAGATTACTCTCAGCATCAGTTCCACTTGGACGCGCTCTCTCTCCATGCCCAATCTCTCTCACACCAACAACCGTTCCTCACCTCTCGATTCAGGCTATTCTGCCCTCGTGCGGTATGGGGTATGTGCTACCCACTTTCCACTTTTCCACTTTTTCTTTTCTTGTCTTTTCGACATCTTCCTCAAAATTATGTAACTTCTTCTTCATTCATCCCTCCCTACCTATATTATATTATAGTGTAGGATCTATCCCTCCTGTGAAAATCTCCCCCGCCCCCCCCCCGCGTTGCGCGTCGCGTAGCCGATGAACCGCCCACCTGGAGCAACCAACCAACTTCCTCGACCTTTGAATCGGTTCTGTCGACTCAGGCTGTCGCGCGCCTCTACATGCCGTTAAATTCATTCTCACCTCCCCACGCTTCCCTCCCTCAAAAAAAAACCCCCCCGATTTTAGGTAGTAAGTAAGTAAGTAGCATCGCACGTCGCCTTCGGAACCACGATGGCTGTCCTTTGTCCTCGGGTTGAATCTGCGTGCGCGTGGCATGGCGGGCCTGTTGTGTTGTGTTGTATGAACGGACTCCGACTTCGAGTCCAACACGCTTCCCCGCAGGCCCGGGATGGCCATCGGACCCTGCGGCTCGGTGAGCGAACGAAAGCAAAAAGGGTTGAAATTGCGTTGAATAACTTGTAACTTGTAACCCTTGCCCAAGTTGGAATTGAGGTGGAAGTTGAAAGCAAAACACGAAGACGAAGATGAAATTTGATGTTGGATGCTGGATGTCATGAATCGGCGAAGCCAATAATAAGGAACGAAGCACGCAAGTAAATACAGCGAAACGAACCCCCATTCTTCATCGAGGTCTTTTGTGCCGACAGCGCGCCCCGCAACAGCACCCCCTTTTCCGTGTCGCTTTTTTTCGTATTGTTCCTGCCGGCCTAGGACGGGCTATGTGTGCTTGGTCCTTCGAGCTTCTATTGTCCACAGGCCTCCGCAGGCTACTCTCGGACGGCGCGGATCCTCCCCATCGGGCCCACCAGAAGTAAGTACAGCGAATAGAACGAACGAACGAACCACGAGGCAACGCACCGCCGTGACCCGAATATACATAGTTTGGCCATGGACGCCAAATCCGCGCACGAGCAGGTGTTCGTTCAAGTTGAACCGTGGGTTGAAATCCGATTGAGCCAACTTGAAGCCAAGCAAAGTCAAGAGCCCCGGAAGATTCTTTGAGTTGTCATTTTGAAGTTTGAACCAACTGCAAGCCCCTAACGCGTCCTCGGAGCGGCAGCGCGCTCGATGGTTTTCTTCAACTCAACCGGGTCGTGGTCTCCCATCAATGGCTACGCGATTGCATCAACCGGCTGCGCTCACGCTGCCGCACAAAATCAAAAGCTTTGTCAGTTGCTTCACCGGCTCCTCCCGTTGCGCCACCCCCGCGCCCCAAAGTCCTTCCATCCTCTCTCCACGACAGGACCCTCTTTCTTTCGTATTGTAAGTACTGTATTGTGCCTGTCGGTGCCCAGACTATGCTTGGTCCTTCGACCTTCCAAAATGCATCGTCCTCAGTCCAGTCCCCTCTCGGACTGCGCGGATCCTCCATACCAGGCCAACCAGGATGCCACATTAATTGTTCCCCGACCTTGGGCTTCGAATCCATACGATGCATCACCCGCGTTGGGCCATCCTTGCTTTCTGCTTATCGCGGAGATGGAGGGATGGATATTCAAGTTCTGTCTGGCGCTCGATTGATTCAATCCTCAGCATCATTTCCACTCGCACCGTGACGTTGTTGGAACCGACAGACTCGCAATGCTTGTCTCCGAGTCAATTCTAGTCTGTCTGTCTCGTCGGATACTTTCCTTTCAACATTCTCATCAAATTTCGTCGATGCCTTCTCTTGTCTCAGGATCACTTCCCTTCACGTTGCGCATTGCGCGTCGCGTAACCAACCTTACTTCCTTGTCACTCAACATCTTCAAGTTCTTTCTTTCTGTCGACTGTCGACTGTCGCTCGCGTCTACCCGTTAATTTCTCACGACTTCTCAGCATCACAAGTGCCGTCAAATTCTCATCGAATTTCTTCGACCCCTTCTCTTCAATTTTTTTGTCTTGTCCCAATTCTACTGCGGCGCGTCGTCCAAACTTGTCGAATTCCCTCCCTTACCTTCCCTAGAGTTCCCATCATCTTCCCTCACGTTGCTCCTGCTCCTCCGCGGACACCATCGCTCCCTTCTTCAAATGCGGCTTCATCGACTTCCCTGCCATCGCCATCTTCCTTCTCTTCCTTCTCTTCCTTCGGGGTCCATTGGCATATGCACTTCAAACCTAACTGTATATCTACTTATCCTATCCGCGCGTCTGCACATCTTCCAACGTCAAGTTACCCGGGACGTTTCCTCAAGTCAACCTTCATATGTCTATCAATTGCACGGTGTCTTCGGTCGCAACGTTCCGAGACGCGAAGACTCGCAAAAAAAAATGATTCCCTTCAACAATCGCCGCCAAAAAAAAAAACGCACACCCGGCGCCGATGTCTACCATCTCCGCGTATCTGATACCCGGCGTTCGGGACGAAAACGCAAACGCGTTCGGCGTTTACGCATACACATACGATCTTCCGCACCACACTGACATGCTGATAAACGCAGACACTACACTGCTTTACTTACTCATGTCCAATATTAACGTCCAATTCCCGCGTCCACACCGTGTGTGTGTCAAACAACATCGCATCGCGTCCCGAACTTCCGACAATCTTCGCAGACGCACGCAATCTGGAATACGCGCGCCACTGCACGAAAGATATCTTTTCTATTGTTAGATGAAGGAGACCCGCCTCGGCGTCGAGTAGGCCTTACCAGGTCCAACAAAGACCCAATAGTCTCGGTCGTTCGGGCCTCGGTCGTCCATGTCAATCTACCGTGAGATGCCTGAAAAAATGGATTGAATTCAATTTGTCGTAGTCAGTGTCGACGACGATCCCTAATACAACACCGTCCCGAATTCCGAATTCCGACTTGCGATATCGATTTTCTTAAAATAAGAATAAAAAACTCCCACAAACTCCCACTTGGGTCGGCGTCGGCGTCAGGTCACCGAGGAAAAAAAAATAGTCGGAGAACTCCACGTAGTACCTCTCAGTCGACTCTGTCAGCAAACAATCCCATCCCATCCCACCGTGGCTGTCGCCAGTGCCACCGGCGCAGGTGGAGATATCGGCTCGCTCGTCCATTTAAATTTCGAAGCGAAGCGCTGCGCTCGGGTACATTTTCTTGTGTACATCGCAACTTGGACGGGCGCACGTTCGACCAACGATCCATGTTCAATAGTCACTTTGAATCTATCCATCCCTCAAAGTTCAGCACATATCCGGATCCACACAGACGAAAACCGTCGATCTTGCACCGGTCCTTTTAAATCCTCTCTCTTGCTCAACGTTCACTCCCTCTTTGCTTGAATTTATTATTTCAGGTTGCCCGCCCGTCCGAAGAAACTGGACGGCGATAGGCCATATACAGACAGCATCGATCGATTGGTGGTGTTTTCCCGATGGAATTAACGTGTGTTTCCTGACAGGGTCATGTGGACTGTCGGGGTTACCTTTTTTGGTTTGGCGTTTAAAACTGATTCCTTGGGTTCGGGCGCCGAGCCGCCAAAAGGCACAACGAAAGAAATGTGGCCGGAAGTAAGATCTACTCAGCAACGGAGGAGGATTCAGACGGGAGAGGGAAGAATATTGAGCATGTACAGGGAGGGGCAAGGGAGGGGATCATTAATGAGACTATTGGGAATTTGAAATTCCTGGAGGGTTCTCACGGAGGCTGTGGGGAAATTTGAAATTCACAAACACTGCAACCTGCAGGTTCGAGTCGACAAAACTCCGCAACTTGAAGGTCGAAATCAAAGAATTCATTCATTCATCCATGAGATGGCGCACTTAGACTGGAATAACACAGCTCTGTTCGCAAGTGATCTACATACTGCGCCAAGCTTCAAGCAATATTAGGGTGTAATTTTCCTTGCATGTGCGCTGTCAATTTAATACGCAATACAACTGAAACTGCGCATCATCAACGTCCAGAACTTTCTCATGGTTGAATTTTGCATGTCCTAAGTTACAGAGTAGGTAAGGTAAGGTATATTCCGGCGCGGTCCCGTTAAGAAACAGCCGGGTCCGTACTACATACATTCTTCAGATGTATGCTACGGATACCATCCTTCTTTGACCATTTGAAAGCCTGCAGGAACACCCCTTGGCCAGAATATTGATTTCGAGAAGCAGTCTGAGGAATATCCACTCCGAACAGCTGCGTGCAGGTGTCCCGCATCGTCGCCCGCTATTCATATGTGTGGCAGTTCCATTGATGTGAATGTGAATGTGAATGTGGGGGACCTGCGCTGGTGGCTGGCGGTGGGGTAAGCAGCCAAAGAAAAGAAAAAAGGGACCCGACGACCCGAGAGCTATTATGTATGTACTCGCCGGTGAGGACAACTTTATAAAGATCGCGGCGTAGCGTAGCGTGAGCAAAAGAGACACTACCGTGGATTGAACACGGGACCTCACGATGTCAACGCACTTTGCAATCATGTGCTCTGAACCACTGAGCTACAGTGTCTTGTCTAACTGTTTCTAACGCGAGACCATGGAGGCATCAGCTAGATTAATGATACCACCGAATTCAACTTAGCGCCTGAGGCACATCTTTCGCTGTTTTGACTCAATTTCATCGCAGAGGTTCCATAATAACACGTGAAATGCAAAATATTTTTTCATTAGATAATAACAAACTCTTGCTGCAACGTCGATAAACAGTATGTCTCAGAGGTTCTCGCTGCTTTGTTCTGGCAGTTTCGTGGACGATTGCCTGGCCTCCCAGCTTCCAGTGTTATGATATGACGGTATCCAAGTTACTCAGGCAGGATCAGTCGGATTGATGTACTTTCCCACGGTTGGATTTTGTGCGGGCAGATATTGTGGATTGTTTAAAAGGTTTTGTTGGATCACTGGCCTTCTGTGCAACACCGACAAATGAACATTGACATTTCTGTTCTTCTCCTCTTACTAGGTGGTTGATGAGGAAGCACCTCCTAGGACCTCAGTGTTGCTCAGTGAGCAGGAGTAAGAGGAGCGAGGAAAGTGGTTCTAGCGGGAAGAGGAATGTAATGAGTCCTGTTAAAATCATCCCATCCGCCATATTGAGAATACACAGCCTTGTTCAGAGAGAAAGACCTCTTGAAGTTGAGTGCCTCCTGCTCAACTTTTAGTGCATCCCCAATCATTTGAGCACGCCTCAGGGCTATCCAACCATCCTCTGTTTTCTTTCTGAAGCAGTGGGAGAGTGACTACCTGGGCTTTCAGATCTTGATTGCTATCTGAAGCTGAGTCTACGGTAGAAGACGCCATCTACATAGGAACTGGGTTTTTTCCAGATGTCGGGATCATGTCGGAATGGGAAGAGTCTCCGGCAATCAAGCCACAAATCAGCTCCGCAAGCGGAGAACGCCGATGCCGTGATCACCGGGCTAAATTCTGTACTGTCAATGTCCTGTAGGCAACTTTCTAGCACGGGATGATTACAACTTTACAAGCCAGCACCAAAATTTCAATTGCTGTTTCACTTGGTCCACACTTTCCCCCTTGCTTCCGCGGTAGGCTTCCGCGGATCGTAGCGAGTCCAGTTCTGGCCGGAAACGGCGGAATGCGCAACAGGAGCACAAGAGGGGACGAATCTTCTCCTATCTTTACGGCCAATTTACGGCACCTCGTTCTCTTCGGCCAATACTCCCGAAAGCCGAAGCCGGACCCACCCGAACGCGCCTTCCTTCGAACGTTCATCTGGTCCCTGCTTATCGCTGTGTTACCTCCCGTCATTGCCACGTTCTGGACTCGGACTCGACGGCGTTCATTTCGCCTTCGCCACGCCGTCACTGTCTGCTGTTCGTCCGCTGTCTTTCCAACGCACAGGTCAACGACACCCTGATGTCGCCCCGATTCCTTCATTCAATTGTCTTACCCGACGCAACGAATTGCGCGACGGCGGACCCGGTTCCAGTACTTCCCATACGCGTCTTCCGTTGGCAGTTTGAAATTTTCATTTCGCTTGGGTCGAGGTGTCTCACGCGAGCGGGAAGTTGTCGTTGGTGCCAATTGACATTCTCAGACCCAGAGATGACACCAACTTCCGAGTCTTTGGGTAACAGCTCCGCCTCGGCTGGAAGGCGTCTACTTACTCCACTTGCACTAATTCCACATCCAACCTCAATAGCAGGCCCGTGTTCACCCGACGCTGAGGAATATACCCCAACTTGAACTCCAGGAATGCAAAAAAAGAACTCTGCCGCGGCATCCCGCATCTCGAGCTGGCCGTAACTGCGGAGCCCCGAAGTCTGAACCATCTCACTTCCGTTATTAAACCAGCTATCAATATCACTTTTGATACTGCCTCGATTGGGGGAGGTTTTTTTCACAAACCTGTTGCGCTATTTCCTGATTTGCTCCACCCACACCCGTTCTCAGTCTCCCTGGAGAAAGGAAGCGGGCGTACGGCGTCTTACAGCAACGGCTCTTCGGAGCGATCACGATGGGCGTCGGCGTGCACTAGAAAGGTACATAAAAATAGTTACATCCCTCCAGATAGGCGGAACGCGGAGGCGGAGGTAGGTACGCCGTTCGCTTATGTGAAGTACCAGCATCGTTAATTGATTCTTACATGCATTGTTCGAAATATTGCCGCAGGGAACTAAAATTGAAACACGTTAGATTTCGCACCCCGAAGCTTATTTGTAACCAATTCCATCGTCATTGGGTCCGCGATCGGTCAAGAAACGGCATACCTCGAGAGCAAGACAAGGCTCGAGCTAGTTCTCCGTCCCAAAAAACACTTCACCGTGCGTCTCCTCAATCAGATTTCATCCTCCATGTACCTCCAAAGACAAAGAGAGACGCAAGCCTGGCTCTCATCAAGTATCCCCTCAAAATTGAACCCTCCCTTATCCCAAAACGCGATCACCAAGGGTGTTACCCGACCGATACATAAAGATAAGCTCTTCAGCCTAACCCTTGCATCATCCAGAGCATCATGCTCATCATTATGGCTTTGATAGCTCGCTCGGAAGCTTCGGAATTCTGAAGGAGGTTACGAACTTACTTATTTTGGCCAAGTTCTGGTCTGCGATCCGTTTAGCTCTCCCTCGAGTTGATTTGGGCTTCCTTCTAGTTCCTCGAGGTTTCACCTGCTAGCGATACCTTCGGCGTTTTTGGACTGTTCAATTTGGACTCAACTGCGGTGAGGAAGCGGAACGTGTCAGAAAACCCGCCCCAACAAAGAAAACAATATTCCCCTCCTAGGGCTTCCACGATTTCCAACATGGCGACCACCACAGCTACATAAAGATACAGCTATCTGGTGTGTTCCGCTGCCGTTGTGTTTCACTGCGCTGGCAAATGTATGCGCTATACATTTCGGTGATGCGCGACGTACCTCCCTCGGTTCGCACAAATTCGCTCATTTCGCGTCAACGCAGACCATGATTGCCGCCGGCGGTGTTTCAAAATCGATGTCTGGATGTACGTCGCTTGCCCTTCCGCAAGTTGGCATATCATTTACCAACCCACGCGTTCGCAAAACACCGATGTTGTCGTTGGATCCCGATCCCCAGCCGACGTCGAGAATTCAGTATCGCCGACAGCTGCGCGTGTGCTTTGCGAGTGATTTCTGATTGCGTTGCTCAAAACACAGCTTGCTCAGTTTGGACGAAGTTGAACTTGCTGCTGTCCATCAGAACTCTTCAACTTCAACCATCAGTTTCTGAACGACACAAGTTCACACAACTGCTTCAACCACAGATTAATCCTGATCATACTGAAGGGAAGAATTGCTTTGCAATTCGAACGTCTGGGTATACCGCCATACTAACGAGAAGTATGGTGACCCGGCACGATGAACCAGGTTCGACCGTTCTGGACTAAAGATAAAACACTTCGGAAGGCGTCCCACTCCCTTCAAACCTAAAATCAATACTAGCTCGCGATCTCTCATAGCTTATACATTCAGGGCGTCCATTGAGCTCAGAACTCCATCTCTATTGCGCTTCGATCTTCCAGACCTCTGCTCTATTTCAAATCACAAGTAGGCTCTGCCTTCCCCCGCGCGCCTCGGTTTCAGTCCGACGCATATATAGCAATCCCCACCCCGCGCGGTGCACGAACGTCTTCCGTCCACCATGTTTCCGCAAGCCGATTATCCAGTCCGGTGGCACCCCACTCCTTCGCCGTTCTTCCTCGGTCAACTTTATATTTTTAAAAGGTCCCCCGTTCCCGCGCCACTCGAATGTCCCATCCGAGAGCAGCTTCCGTTCGTGGCTTCAGGACGATCCTCATTGGCTTCTTTCTCGCATGGAGACGCGGTAAGTGAGTGTCCCGACAAACATTGCAATGAGCTCTACAGAGTTCAATCAGAGAACTGGCAGTCCATCGCGACCCTCGAAACTCAAAATAAGTGCTCGACTTCTCTTTCAATCTCTTTCAAGTCCGGGTGCTTTGTCTCCAAGTTGTGAGGAGCACCAAGTGCAGTGCTCCACAACTTCTAACGATCCGTCCCTTCAAGGTGCTGCGTGACTGAGAACTTCTCTATGAGCGGTCAAAGAAAATTAACATGTTGATACCCACAATTGTTCACAAGAGATGCTTCTTCAAAAATGCTTGAAATTCGGTCAGGAAAATCTGTCGATTCTCTACTGTGATGGGGTCGTTACTCGGACCTTTCGAGAACGAGTACCGGAATCAGTAAGGTCACGGAGAAATGATACTGGCACAAACGAAGAATGGGCACGTATCGCGCACCCCATCGAAACTTCAAAGTCTTCACGGACAGGAAGTATCGGAAGAAGTCCTCGCATAAATATTAACGTTGAAAATGCAATGATAATGAAAACCTTGTTCTTTAGAGGGTTTAGATTGCCAGTAAGCGGCGCCGCAACGAGAATTGCCTTAGCTGTGAAATGGGTTAGATGAGGCGCCTATCTATGTAAGCTAAGGACTGACCGAATTGATTGCCCGGGAGCGGAATTCGACGCTCAAAGACAGCGCACCTTTATGGCAGTGAACTCAGAGTGTGTTGGTGAGCCCACCCAAGTGAATACCCGGAGGCTCAGAAAGGTGTCGAGCTGTTGGGTTAAATGTGGGATAGGTATATAACTCTTTTGGGGGCTCATAGGTCCCATTCATCATGCTAGTGATTTCTGCGGAGGCGGCGGCGGCGGCAGCGCGCCGCCGAAGAAAGGACAGACCGTTGGGAATGACGGGCGGAATGACGGCCAGTCGCGGGATGTTGTACACGTGGTGCGGTGATTGTCCGTGGGATGGCGGGCAATGAAGGCCTCGGTCGGAACAGTCATGCATTCGAACCGCTCGAGGTGTGTGCAGAGACAGAGGATATGAATATCCTTCAACGGTCCCTGCACGGAAAGAGAGCGCAGATGACCGCCGTATGCGGAAAGAATCCATTCCAAATCAGTGTCCGATTTAGACTCTGTTTGATGGAAAACTTCGAGTGGATGGTCGCCCACAGATATGAGGAACTGGCCCGCATCGGTTACCCATGTGGAGCAGAATTTT